CATGAGAGAACTTAAGTTCAACTATAGCCCTATGAAGACCCATGACTGTCATGTCATTATGACTTAGCTACTCTGAAAGGTCCTAATGGCTAGAGGGGGGGGGTGAATAGCCTATTAAAAATTTCTACAACAACACTTAACAAATCGGTTAGATAATTATGAGGCGAAGCAAGTGTTGCGCTAGCCTACTAAAAATACAAGTCACCTACCACAATTTTAGTTTCTATAGTTTCTATCCACACAATGGCTATGTCACTACACTAAGTTAGTGTGCTTTCAAAGACTAACTAAAGAGCCACACTAACCAAACTAACAAGCTCTCACAACTAGCTACACTAAAGAGCTTGATAACTAGTATGCGGTAATGTAAAGAGAGAGAGAGTAAGATGGTTATACCACTGTGTCGAGGAATGAACCAATCAATCACAAGAATCAATATCAAGAACACCAATCACCTCGGAATCAAATGATGACATAATAATTTTTTACCGAGGTTCACTTGCTTACCGGCAAGCTAGTCCTCGTTGTGGCGATTCACTCACTTGGAGGTTCACGCGCTAATTGGCATCACACGCCAAACCCTCAATAGGGTGCCGCACAACCAACACAAGATGAGGAACACACAAGCCACGAGCAATTTACTAGAGTACCTTTTGGCTCTCCGCTGGGGAAAGGTCAAGAACCCCTCACAATCACCACGATCGGAGCCGGAGACAATAGCCAACCTCCACTTGACGATCCTCGCTGCTCCAAGCCGTCTAGGTGGCGGCAACCACCAAGAGTAACAAGCGAATCCCGTAGCGAAACACGAACATCAAGTGCCTCTAGATGTAAACACGCAAGCAATGCACTTGGATTTACTCCCAATCTCACAAAGACGATGAATCAATGATGGTGATGAGTGGGAGGGCTTTGGCTAAGCTCACAAGGTTGCTATGTCAATGCAAATGGTCAAGAGAGGGAGCTAGAGCTGGTCATAAGGCTTAAATAGAAGCCCCCACGAAATAGAGTCGTTGTACCCCTTCACTGGGCACAACACGGGGTGTCCGGACGCTCCGGTCACATCGACCGGACGTAGGACCCCAGCGTCCGGTCGCTCGATCTCAACGGTCAAGTGATGATCGGACGGCTGCTCAAAGTGATCGAATGCACCAACACCAGCATCCGGTCGTTTCCAGTAAGGTTCCAGAGGTGACCGGACGTGTCCCGGTCATGCCCAATCGGACTCACCCAACGTCCGGTCACACACTGTCTCCTCTGTGTGCTACCACATCAGCAGGATCGGACGCACCCAGCCAGCGTCCGGTCATAAAGTGACCCAGCGTCCGATCAAAGATCGACGCCAGCGTCATCACTGCTTCCACTGACCGGACGCTCCGGTCCAGTTGAGACCAGCGTCCGATGCACTCTGTGAAACCCTGTCTTTTCTGTACAGGGCGCCGGTGGCACCGTCGGACTGTCCGCACTCTACGGACTGACACTTCACCGGTGAAGTTTCTAACCCTTACTCAAATGTGCCAACTACCAAGTGTATCACCTTGTGCACATATGTTAGCATATTTCCACAAATGTTTTCAAGGGTGTTAGCACTCCACTAGATCCTAAATGCATATACAATGAGTTAGAGCATCTAGTGGCACTTTGTTAATCGCATTTCGATATGAGTTTCACCCCTCTTAATAGTACGGCTATCGATCCTAAATGAGATCACACTCACTAAATGTCTCGATCACCAAAACAAAATGGCTCCTACCACTTATACCTTTGTCTTGAGCCTTTTGTTTTTTCTTTCTTCTTTTCAAGTCCAAGCACTTGATCATCATCATGGCATCACCGTCATCATGTTATGATCTTCATTTGCTTCACCACTTGAAATGTACTACCTATCTAATGATCATGTTGATAAACTAGGTTAGCAATTAGGGTTTTATCAATTTACCAAAACCAAATTAGAGCTTTCATGCTCTCTGTTGCCCTATTTGGTATCCTTCCCCTCAAAGGTCCGCGCCCCAATCATAAAGCTGTGTTCGTTCTTCAACGCGATCTCAAAAAAGGTCATTGATGTATCCATGCTAGAGCAGCTGCAGCGGGACATAGCCGAAACTCTCGTTAGGCTTGAGATGCATTTCCCGTCGACTTACTTTGATATCTCATTGCATCTGCTCATTCATCTTGTTGACCAAATTAGAGCCCTTGGCCCAATGTACCTGGATCAGATGTTCCCTTTTGAAAGATTGATGAAAGTTTTTAGAAGATATGTTAGAAATAGATTCAGGTCAGAAGGGGGTATGGTTGAAGGATAGTCAACGGAGGAGGTCATTGAGTTCTACACATATTATCTGGACATCAAAAGGGCCGGAGTTCCAGAATCTCGTCACGAGGGAAGACTACGTGGCAAAGAAACGATCGGAGAAAATCTGTTACAGTAGACGACCCTGTTTCTTTCAGACAGGCACAATTCACTGTTTCTAATGTTTCTCCTTTTAATGTTGTACAGTGTCCGAAGAAGACATATCGGTGGGACGCAGGTCCCATTTAAGGTTGTCGAAATAGAGGGAAAGTACATAAAACAGCCGGCGGGAAACCATGAATGCGGGTTTTATGTAATGTGGGCAATGCTTCGCTACATCGGCGGGAAATCGGAAGAAGCAGATAAGTTGGTGTGTATAATCCCTATTTCATTTATGTCTGTTAATAATTCAACAAAATAATTTTCAGATTCCTCTTTGGATATCATCTTTTTTGAACGACAGCGCAAGAAATATAACCACGAAAGGCTGTTAAACATGAAGATCGTCATACTGCAATCGGAGCTGGCAAAATTCATCTTAGCCGATGTATTGAAAAAAGATGGGGTATTTTTCATTGCACAATCCGTAAAGTTCAAGGACCAGTATGACCCAGAGCGGCTCGCTAGATTATTGTAAGAAGTCCGAAAAGCATGCTTCATCTTATCGAATAATTTATTTTTTATTTTGAGAGATCGAGATCTTGATAAGAACATTTGAACTGTAACCGTAACATTTGTAATGTTTAATATTGATGGACCTGTCGTCTACGTAGCGTATATAAAGCGAAACCCGATTCCACGAAAAAATATAAATTAAAATAAATTATAAAACTATAAAATGCGAACGGGCCATCACTGCCGGTTAGCAACAAACCGGCAGTGATGGACAAGATGTCACTGCCGGTTTGAGTCACAAACCGGCAGCGTTGGCTTAGACATCACTGCCAGGTCTTGTCCCAAACCGACAGTGCTGGTTACGACAACACTGTCGGCTAAAGACACAAACCGACAGTGATGTTCGAGGTTACACTGTCGGGTGGTCTCATGAACCGGCAGTGTTGGTGGAACTGGACTTTGCCGGGTTGTGTAAAGGACCGACAGTGAAGTTACAGAACACTGCCGGTTTGTCGGAACCGACAGTGATAGCTAACCCTCATCACTGCCAGTTTGGTTGTGCCGGTTCAAAATCGGCAGTGATGGGGTATTTTGAACCGACAGTATTGTCCTGATCTGGGGTAGTGATTGGTGTCGTCATTTACGTATATAGATCGAGTTAGGGGGTGTCGTTTAGGACTGCTCCACGACCACTTCCGTAGAACAGCTTCATTAAAAACCTAGAATTTATGGAGCACCTATTTAGGTGCTCTCATAGCTTCATCTTTTTTCTGAAGTAGAGTTACGTGGAGCTGAACTTATTTAACTAAAAAAACATAGAGCGGACCTGAAAAATATGAAGTGGAGCAGTCCATTCGCTCCGTTCCATGGGAATCGGGCAAAGCGCTATCAACCAATAATTTCGTCGCTTGCTTCTCCTGTTCCGATTCCTTGAATCCAAGGCTCTACCACCACCAGGGAGTGGATTTTCCACGTAGCCAAATAAGGAGTACGTACGTACATGCGTCTCTCTCCGTGGGTACGCTAGTGTAAATAACAAAGGCAGAGCACAATCCCAGGATGGTTCGTTTGGCTGTCTTTAATTAAGCCAAGAGTACGTGCGTGGCTGCTGCTGTTTGGTTTCTTCTAGCATACTGTGTAGCTGAGAATGGGGAAGCTGGCTGTGCTGAAACAGCCTCGGCTAGCCCCTCCATCTTTTAATTTTGCTCCGAAACGACCATGATGGCACTTTATTTGTTTAATTACACGCATGCATGGTTGAAGCTTAAATACACGCAGGCATGTTGTTCAAGTTTAAGAAGGAAGAAGGAGCAGAGCATGCATGTGCTGGTGGTGACTCCTGCAATGCATAGAATACAACAAATCCTTTCGTGTCCGATCCAGGGTTCTCTTACATATATTAGATTATTATTATTATATTATTATTATTAGATCAAGATCAAGAAGCAGTCATCATCAGTGAGGTGTTTAAGAACGGAAGAAGAGACGATAGATGCACACCAAACTGGGGTCCATGGGCTGGCTGGACCCTACACGTAGGTACAACGAGAGAGGTGGCCCATTCCGCTCCATTGGCAAAAAAACAAAAAGAAGAAGAAGAAGAAGAAGAAAGGAAGTTTCACAAGGTGGCCAAAGCTCACGCCAAGTCGTCCCCTCACCAACGCATCGCATCGCATCCCAAATCCCATCCTCGTCGTGCCATCCATGATCCATCGTCAAGCCCAAGGAAGCATTGGAACCCCAAGTCTCACCAACCAACCAAAGCGCGGCCTTGCTTGGCAACCGCCTTTGCCTGCGTGCGGGGCCGCGGGATCGCAACGCGGGCGGCACCACCTGCCCACCACCACCGTACCCCTCCCGTCGCCGTGCTGGGTGGCGGGTGCTGCTGTCGCCCGCCGCGGCGCTTCCCTTCCTTCTCCTTGATAACCCCGCCGCTCCCAGCGCCGTCCTGCCGCGGCGCCTCCTTCCTTCCTTCCTTCCGTATATATATATGGCCACAAGTAGCGAGCGAGCAACGTAGCCTCCTCCTCCTCCTCCTCTGCCAAGCGTATACTAGGCAGCAGCCCGGCCGGCACCGGCGGCCGTGACGACGAAGATGAAGCCCGACGGCGCCGGCGGCATGGTCACGACGACGGCGATGGTGATCCCGCCGGACGACCACCTCCGCTCGCGCAGCCGCCTGGCCGCCGTGCTGGCGCCGCTCCTGCTCTTCCTCGCCGCCGTGCTCTCCTTCCCCTCCACGCTCCGCCTCGCCGCCATCCCGCTCCCAACGCCGCTGCAGCCGCCGGTGGTCACGACGCCCTACCAGCCCCGTCGGAGCGCCACCACCGCCACCTCCACCGCGCCACCGCCAGCGAGGGTCGCCGTCTGCCTCGTGGGCGGCGCGCGGCGGTTCGAGCTCACGGGGCCCTCCATCGCGCGCCACGTCCTGGCCGGCGGCGCGTTCGCGGTCCCCGCATCGGCGGCGCCGGGGCGCCACAGCAGCAGCAACCAGACGGCCGTCGACGTGTTCCTGCACGCCCCGCTGGACGCCGACGCGTACAAGCTGTCCCTCCTGGCGCGCGCCGCCGTTCCCGCGACAGGCAACAGCAGCAACAACGTCAGCGTCGCCGCCGTCCGCGTGTTCCGGCCGGAGCGCCTCGACGTGACGACGCCGCCGGCGCGCGCGCAGGTGCTCACCGCCCTCAACTCGCCCAACGGCTTCCAGGTCAGTCGCATTCTCTCTCTCTGGATCTCCCTCTTGCTCGATCGTCGACTTGGATCGCATTGGTTCCTTGTTTGTTCCTTGCGTTGCTTGCATGCCATGTCTCTCCTCTGCTACCTCGATCATCGTCCTTAACTTCCTCTGTCGTCATCGAGTAGGTTAGGTTAGATTAGATTAGATTAGTTTTACTTTCCAGCTTATTATAGGTTCCCCTGTTCGACTACCATAGCATCTTCTAAATTACTACTTTGATGAAACTTTTGCTTCGCCAAAAAGAAAAGATCGTTACGCCTTTCGTGGTTTCCTTTTTATGGTATTTTTATTTCCACGCCGAAGCCATTTGAGTCCCCTTTTATAGAAATCAAAAAAATTCAAATCACTTCGTGCTCTTTGATCGTTTATTACTATTTATTTACTGCTGCGATACTCCCTCGAATCCTTTTTAGAAAGGTTTATACCATTGTAGTTTCTTAATTTTTTCTTCATGTCAGTAAAAAACTCAAAAAGTAGAGATATGAATAAACTCAAGTAATAGCTTGGTAGTAGACGTGCTGTAGATAGATACCGATTACTTTCCTCGATAAACACCCCCGCAAATGCGGTAGATTCCGATTACTCCATGTACGATGCTGTCTACGTGTACTTACGTAGCAATCATGAGAGCATCTCCAAGAGTTTGCTATCTCAACTTGGCATCCATATGATTTTGGCAAAACAAAAAAAAATAGCCTCCAACAGTTTGGCAAAACAACTTGGCATCAATAGCAACTTGGCAAATCTTCCCTCCGCGCGCGCAAATATACTCGTGCGTATACGGCTTGGCATCCGGGGCTCTTCATTTCTTAGCGGGGCTCTTCGTTCGCTTAGTGGGCCTCTTTATTTTGTTAACAGGTTTTTTTATTTTATCAAGTCAAAAATACCAAACTCTTGAAGATGGATTGTTTTTTTACTTAGCATATAATTTTGGGAGTTGACAAATCACAAGATTTGCCAAGTAAAATATGACAAACTCTCAAAGATGCTGCCATCCCTCGAAAGTAAATTACGTACTTGCATATTTATATATATAAAAAATGTATTACCATAACTAGGCTGCTGCCGATGAAAAGGTACATGCATAATCAACACGCGTTATGTTTGGTAGACAAATGCACAGAGATTAATTAGACTGTGACAGCAGCCAACCCATGCGTTCATCCAGTCGATTACGTGTGCAATTAATATGTATATAAATCCAGGCACAACAAGGCAGTCTCACGGAACGGAAGGCCGAATGAAAGCCCTCTTGTGTTTGAGCAGCGTGGAGCGTGTGTGTATCCATGCGTACGTACGTGATGCGTCCGTGGTCCTGGAAACGAAAACCAGCAGCAGCATCGCCGGCCGTCCGGCCGTCCGTCCGTCGTCGGAGGAAAGAAGGTAGAAGAAGACGACGACGGCCGGCCGACGACTTGTCGCATGTGGCGTACTTAGTCTAATTGCTTTTTCGATGCTGCCACTACTACTGCGACAGATCTAGCTAGAGACGACTAATTAATTAATTATCAAAAGCTGGCCAGCGACATGCCTGACATGACCCTGCGTGCCGTGATCGATACGGGCTTATTGCTAACAGCTAGCCGAGTCGTCGATCCAGAGTACCAAAACCTGCCCATAGGACTATCCGCAACGGGAGGCTGTCTCCATCGACATCGACCAAGACTGCGTACCAAGGAATATTCAACGGTAACCCGTTCGCGTTCATATACAGTCGGTGTGAATGTGTGATAGTTGAAGAAATCGCATGCATGCGTGGTAGCTAGCGTGCATACATATACATATATATCTATCGTTGATCCCGGAGACTAAACATGTGCAGTTTGACTCGACGATACGATCGATCACACAGTGTATATATACAAGCCCTGTACTTATTATATATATATAATCTGATTATAATACACCTAGCTAGTACGTAGTCAGGAATTAATTGGGCAAAGCAGGTAAACAATTGGTCGTTGGGTGTACAATTTGTACACACCGTTGACCAAGAAGGGTAGGGCCGGGCCCGCCTGCTTGCTCGTGGGAATGACACGTAGCATTGGCATTAGCGTACGTGTATAGTACCATGGCCGGCCAGCGTACCGTACTAGCGTGTTGTAATTGTACAAACAAAATTTTCTGAAGAAATTATTGTAATTGTAACTTGCAGGTGGTATTTCTTCGCTCGTAGAATATATAACCAACTATAGAACAGCTAGCTCACGCAGCATGCATCTGTATACCGGGGGCGTGAGGTTGTGAGGCTAGGGTTTCAATCCAATTTATACTTGTCATTGTTGGGCTGGGCTGAATGATAATTTTTGGGCTGGAAGATAGGAAGAAGCAGTATGGAGCCGGGTAAAATTAACCCATGGGTTTGCGGGTACGGGTACCTTAGGAACATACCCGTACCCACAAAACCGATACGAGTTTTTTCTCATTAATGAACCCGCGGGTATGAAAATTGACCCATACCCATGCCCTCATAGAGTAAAAACCCATCGGGTTTCGGGTAGCGGGTAACCATTGCCATCTTTATTCACACGGCTTTTGCACGCGCACGATTAAGGATGGCAACGGGGATGTACCCGTCGGGTATCGCCGGAACGTTCTCTTCCCCGCTACGAGAATTCATCCCGTCCCCGTCCCCGTTAACTGTCTCGGGTATAGATTCTTGCCCATCCCCGTACCCGTTGGGCATCGGTCGGGTAGCAGATACCCGACGGGTACTGCATACCCGATAAACAAGGACACTTGGGGTCGCAGCTTTGCAATCAGAGACGTTTCTTCTTCACCCGGGTATAAGTGTCGGATTCTCGGAGATGCCAAGGAGAAGGAGCGAGGTTGCGAGGAGGACGAGCAAAGGTGGCAGAGAGACCGAACTGAGGAAGCGAGGGGCATGAGCGCTCGTGAGGCGGCGTGCTTGTGCTGCTGGCGGAGATGGTGAGGAAAAAATAAACTAGGGTTCCTAGAACACACAAAACTATATATATGATTGTTCAGATTTGGGCCAAAATACTTATGTCGAGCTTCTTTGGGCCTAATACTCACATGACAGCTCAAATAGTCGGGTTCCCCAACGGGTAACGGGGACGGGTAAACAGGGAACGTTCTCGTACCCGCTATACCCGTCGGGGATGGATTCTTGCTCATTTAGATGTCCACGGATAAAGTTATGATCCCATCCCCGTCCCCTAATAGATCAAATACCCGTCGGGTATCGGGGCCCCGTTGCCATCTTTACGCACGATTCTCTTCATGTGTGTACATGCATGCGTCGAAAAAGTCAATTGGATGTTTCTTTTTTTATAAAAGAAAAATCCTCCCTCCGTCCCCAAAAGAATGCAATTCTAGAACAGTATTTTAGTATATCACCTTTGACCAATTATATATATAAAAGTATAAATATTTATAATATAAATAAATATCATTAGATTAATTATGGAATGTATTTTCATAATAAATTAATTTGGAGCCATAAATGTGAATATTATTTACTATAAACTTGATCAAACGTGAAGCACTCAAAGTGGCACGCAACTCATAGTTGTATTCTTTTAGGGACAGAGGTAGTATATCGCACTTGACATATTTGGGATTTTTTTCCCATCATATAATAAATCTCAGACGACTTAATAATCTACTTAAATAAACAAATAAACTTAAATCGCTTGTCAAGTTATTCCGGCCCGGTCGGCTAGCTCTTGCCGTATCTATACATAGTAGTAGTACTAGGAAGAAAGAAGAAGCAGACACACGTGAAATGAAAGCAGACAAAGAAAACAAGAATAGCAGCTGCTTTTCCAAAGTCCATATCATCTCATCATCACCTCTTGTGTGTGTGTTGTGTTGAAGAAAAGACATGAAAAGCACCTGGCCACCGAATTCTGCATGCACCCTTGCAAGAAAGCTGATGGAGCACTACGTGGTACCGGCACCATTATAGTAGAACAGAACAGATGCCCTAACCTAAATTTAGTCGTATTTCCTCTTTTGTGTCATGTTCAAGCCAAACACCACTTTCTATTATACTAAATATATGCTGACCAGTGACCAGTAGTACTTCGATTATATCGATGGTTTTTGTGTTTTTTAAAGATAGCTAGATTAGGGTCCTGTAGAGTGGTCAGAAAAAAGTGAACTGCTTCCTAGAAAATACGTTCAAAATAAGCTAGTCTGATTTAAATTCTGTTTTTAGTACAATTGTGTACATGTCACGGGGAGAATCGACTACCGAGGCCAGAAAAAGCTAAAAATAACATGTTGTTTGGCTTTAGTTTCAGCTTATTTTGACTATATATATAAGCAATTTATAATTAGAGTATGCTATATTAGCTAGTATATATGCTACAGTAAGGTGACAAGGAGAATAATATATATAATCGGTGATGACGATGACATATACAGTTTACACGTACTCTATACAGCACTTGTTACATGTCAATAGATGCTCTCCGATCCATCCGCCATCGTGTTTTACCAAAGCTATTAGTTTTGTAGTATCTCGGATCAATGTTTTTACAGCTAGCCCAAACAACGCATGCATGCATCTTTTCTAGCTAATTAATCACAGTTTGCTTGATCCTGATTCCTTATTCCTCACCCTGACCTTGTCATCATTCAACTTGTTACTGACGCATGCGTTGCATTGCAATTTGCAATTGTTACAGGGCCTGCTGCAGTACTTCCGGCTGGTGGAGGGATGCCTGGACCTCATCCGTGACCGCGAGTCCCGAGGCAACTTCACCTACGCCGCCGTGCTCCGGACCCGCCTCGACGGCTTCTGGACATCGCCACTCCGCCTCGACGACGCCGACCTCCTCCTCCCCTCCGCCTCCTCCACCGACTACTACGTCGTCCCGGAGGGCTCCCGCTACGGCGGCCTGAACGACCGGCTAGGCTACGGCGGGCGTGCCGCCACGGAGGCGGCGCTGTCCCGGCTGTCCATGCTCCCGCGCCTGGCGGCCGCGGGCTACGCGGCTCTCAACTCGGAGGCGGCGTTCGCGGCGCAGCTGAAGGTGTCCGGCGTGGCCGCACGCGAGCGCCGCCTCCCATTCTGCGTCCTCAGCGACCGCTCCTACGCGTTCCCGCCCGTCCCCGGGTACGGCGTCCCCGTCGCGTCGGTGGGCAGCGCCGGCCCGCTCAGTGGCTCCAAGTGCCGGCCCTGCCGCCCCGCATGCGTCGGCGAGTGCGCCGAGCGCAGCGTCGCGCTGCTGCAGCGCGAGTGGAGCTGGACCGAGTACCGGAACGGGACCGTGGAGCTCTGCGACGCGTCGGGGCCGTGGGAGGATGGGTGGGAGGCGCTGTTCGACGCCGCCGCTGGTGACGACGCCGCCCGGGTTAGGCGGAGCGTGGCAAGGATGGGTGCCAGGGAGTGCGTCGACCAGATGGAGGCGTTCAAGGCCCTCGCGGAGCGCTGGGACGCGCCTAGCCCCGCCGAGATCTGCCGGATCGGGCTCCGAGCCCGGACGAATACCTCCGCCGGCGGCGACTCTTGATGATGTGACAGACAGTGACTGCTGGCACCATTTTGCCGAGGCAGACCAACCTTAGAGTCCATGGGACCGTGACAGTCGTTGGTTGGCTTCCCAATTTGCCCTCCCTCTCCTTAGAAAACGCACGCAGCTTCACAAGATTAGTTCGGAACACGAAGGGCAATAATATAAAAGAAAAAAAGGAAGAATTGATGTGGGACGGGATGATAGTGGTACATAATATATACTACAACTACAATACATAGAGATACACTCCTATCTTAATTCTTGTGTAGAAATTTTTTACAGAAGCTAGCTGCTAGTTCAATATCTACTCCTAGTTTATTTATAATATATAATAAAGGCATGTTGATAGACTAGCTAGATATACAGAGAATGCAATGGAATATATATACATACATATACATATGCATATACAGTTATCATTCTTTTTTCTTTTTTTTTTTGTCGTAGCACAGTGATCATATACACATACCACCAAGGCAAGTCATTTTTATTTGATGGGTTGCAAATTGCAATGTTTGCAAGAGATCGATTGGTTACACCTGGGCCTGTTCGGCAGGACTGAAAAATAAGCTAAAATACTGTTCCGGCTGATTGTTGTGAAAGAAAAATACTGTTCTTGCTGAAAACACTGTTCACGGGATGGTTAGTGCTGGTCGGTGCCTATAAAATCATACTTATTATAGGATAAGGCATCACATCGGTAATTGGCGTACCTAGTAGCAAGGCAATGCTACCGATGGATGGAGGGAAGAAAAAAAAAAGGGCGGCAAGGCAATGCTACCGATGGATGGAGGAAGAAAAAAGAAAAGGGCGGCAGTTGAGGTTTTCTTTGTTGCGCCGTCACACCAACATTGATCGATCTGAGATCATCTCGATCTGACGTCGCCATCGTTCTTTCTCGTATGTTTTACGCCTCCTCTTTGGATTTTGTTATGCATGCTCATCTCAATATATCTGTATAAGAAATGCACATGGTTAGCTAGTAAAGTAGTCTCCAACATAACTTGTAAATGAGGAGACCTCTCTAGTTGGAGTTTGAGGGCTCCTACTTTGTGAGTCCTCAAATTTAATCATCAGGCTTAGTTCAGCCCTCAAAATCGTAGGGCCGCGCCAGGAATGGAGGCGTCGAGGAGGGCGAGCCAACTTTTTGAAGGTCTCACGGCCTGTTCGTTTAGCTTGTCTTTGTCGTATCGATCGTAAATTTTCAAATTTTAATGTAGATTTTTTCTCTCACACAAACCAGCCAAGTAGGATTTCTTCACTTAACCAAAGAACGATCTGAACCAACCAAACCGAACAGGCCGTCAATAGAAACTACTATGCTGGAACCTGGAAGGTATGTATTAGTTCCCTGCCAGTTTTCCAAAGGAGGTTAAGGATCTGAATAGAAATAGAGAGGGCCCGCTGAAATTGCTAAAAAGCACGGTTGGTGTCATTAATTTGGTTTTCTTGCTAAGCCATGGCGGCATGATGGCACGATAGACTGTCTGGCTGGCTGAGCAAATAAAGCCCCGTTAGCTGGTTTCTTGAACTGGAGCAGCAGTGTAGTACGTGCCTGCTGATGTCACCTACTCACCTGTCTCCTTTGGAGATGCATGGATCCCAGCTCCCAGGGCGGCCGGACAGTGCCATGGCTGCTCATCTGCCAACAGCCCAACAGAAACGAGGACTGGTAGTAGGTCCCAGCAGCAGCAAAGGCTTTTCTCCTCGTGAAGCAATCGCTTCCCCTCTGTCGTCGTCCTGAACTCCCGTCCTTGCCTGCAGCCGTCTCTGTCCATCAGTCCATGGCTGCTTGCTGTTGCTGCTAGGGGCCCAGCTCCGGCGACGGCGATGCGACCGCGCTGTTGCGCCGCACCCCACCTTCCAGCAGCCTTCTCTCATGGGCCATGGGTACGAGGTCCGGGGTAGCTAGGGCCGTGATTGGCCGCTACTTCTCCTGTCGTGGAGCTTCTCCTATGACCAAGAATGATTATTCATGAGACTTGTTCTATTTCAGATGCTGGAATTTTTAGAAAAATTCAGTTAACAATTTAACACAATCAATTTAATGTAAAGAACAACTAACTCGCAAGAGATGATTCATGTTTTTTCCCTATATATAGCCAAACAATAACGAAATTGCATGTTCTCTAAACAACAAAAAATCAGATACCTGGAAAGTCATCATCTTCTCTGAGAGAGAATTTATCATCGATCTTCAGAAGTGATTATTTATAACTCTCTAGTTTATTTTAGGACAACACAAAAATGGAAAGTCATCACCTATCTTATGAGAGAGATAATTCTATGACTAAAAATGATTCTATAAGTCATAACTCTTCACAAAATGCTTCAGCAGCATAGCCAGTCGTATTCATTGCTGGAAGCCTGGAAGCACACCTCCGGGCCTCCGGCGGTGAAGAAAAAAATGACCACCAAACACTAGCCCAACACACCACGTCACCAACAAAATGCGAAATAGAACGGGTAAAATGCAATGTGGAATGATCATCACGTCAGACTCGTCACACTGTTCGGTCTTTTCCTTAGCATGTCACTTCTCATCTCATTGTTGGTACCTCGGAGCATAAAATTATTATTACCCTAAACCCTCATTAAGCGTCAAATCCCAATGCACCCTAGGCTCTCGATGTCCATGCTTACAATATGTGATAGTACATGAGCGTATCCAATGGAGATACGGGAATGCCTTGAAGGAACGGTTTCTAGATGTCTCGGTTGAGTCGCGAGCTCCGGTCTAGCTAGGATGCGGTGAGAATTCCACTATTTGGCACCACAGTTTGCTTTGGGGGAGCTGCCGCTACTTCCTCTGCCTGCTCCTGTAAAATAGCGCACACATTCTCTCCATATGAGTTCGCTAGCGAAGTATTCTTAAAAAACTGTGAAAACACGCCAAAGGCAAGGACTAGTAATCACTTGTCACGATTTGTAAAGAACTTACTGTTTCCGTGGAAGCACAGTATGCTTCTAGCTCTCTCTTGGCAAAGGTCGGAAGAACAAACGCTGCCCTATGCATCTGTTCAACGATGAAAATTAGCCAGGGCAAACGAATCTTAATGGAAACAATCTTCACATAAAGGTTGCAGTTGAATGGGCTTCAATGGGTGAGCAAAAATAGGGACAGCAGGTATATGAACATTCCCATATTACAAATGATGAAATGAAACACGACTCGATTACTACCGAATCATACAAGCTGTTCATGTAACCCCAGCCCTGACCTAGTTGGTATGGATGAGTCATATGTTCCACACAGACTTCATCATAGGCTCATAGCATAGCAGGGTAGTTAACGAAAATTATAATTTCTGAATCATGCCATTAAGATAAACTTCTGCATACTAGGACAAAAGGCAGCACAGGCTAATTAAAATATTGGCACAAGAAATCATATGCGATTGATTAAAGGAAAACTGACCTCTGAATTATAAAATCTGATCTCCCTTCCTGCTTTAGTAGCTCCTTCCACTTCTTCAATTGGATTTATAGGAGTCAGAAAGTTCACCGGTGGACCTTCTTTGGCACATAGCAGAAACCCAATCACCCCACTGAAAAATTCAAGTAAACATTCTGTAAGAAAAGGTAAGTTCCATACAGGAAAAACGCTGAACACAACAAAAGACTTATATACCTAGAACTGAAAAACCTACAACATTTATTTGTCACAGCTCACAACTACTAAGCACAGAATGTCAAAACACTTAGCCCTGCTTTTTAAACAAAGGGAAACCAAGGAATTTTGAAGGATTATAATCCTATGGACAGCTTCTTATATGAACTCTCAGAACAAAGAAATAAGCCCCTGAAACTCTTGCACAAACTTTGGAGAAAATTCAACATGAGGTTAGACTAGGAATGCAAGTAGGTATCCAATGGGTAGTTATGGGTCACCCCCTTAGTTCATTTTTCTTGCTTTGAAATACAGATTAGTTCATTTTGATGTTTTTTTGCTCAATCAAATGACAAGGCAAAGAGTAATTTTTTTACAGTATTCACAAGTACAATGCATTGAACTCTTCTCCAAAAACCATATATCCTGTCTTTCCAAATAAAACAACATTTATCTTCAAGTTCCAATTTCATTTTTTCAGGAAGTTTAATATCCTAACTTTTGGCAGCATGTTTCCTTTCGTGTTATACTCATTTTTCTTCTAATGCACAATGTTAAGTACAATGTGAAGTGATTATTTTCCTTTTTTGGGTAAGTCTACTAGAGCCTGCACAAAATAATGACTTCAAGGAAAAAATGAAAACTATTTGTAGCTCCAATAATGAGGTAAACATATTTGCATTGACAGCTAGGATGGCTTGATCAGGTAAAACATGTAAATAATGTTGGGAATATGCTCACTAATGGTTTGTCAGGCTATGGACTGGTTCCTTGCATGAGTTGAGCTAAAGCCCGAAATATCCTATGACTGCCAAATGAACCAGCACTGCCACCAGTTCACTGTCAACAATAGTGACACACATGAGGATCGCAGTACAAACTTCTTGGTACAAATAAAAAAAAATAGTTGAATGCAAAACAAGTTATCATGCGGTCATGCCCAACCCACCCATATACGTCAACCAAGGACCTGTCATAAAGGAATAAAAAATACAAATGATCACTTAAACTATAAGTTCAAAACCCTCCAATATGCATCCATTCAACTCAGCACAGCACAAGATGAGACTGAAGCTTGCACTCCTGAGCCAATCCTTGTTTTTACCAAGAAAAAAATGTAGCAAAAAAAAAGACAACTCAACTCAATAAATGCTATTTAGGTAAATGATTTTAACAATGGTACCCATATTTGTACCCAAAAAAAAGCTATCCATATGCATAGTGCAGACTTGATGCATGTATAACAAACAAAAACTACTTTTTCACACAAACAGGTGGTTGTTAGGTTTAGGACATGTACCTGCAATGAAATAGAAATAGTTGATACATAATTAAAAAATAAATAATGATTGATACAGTTCAGAGAGACCACAACTGTGAAAACTACAAAGTGAAGCTATAACTGTGTTTTAAGTATGCACCATTCCATGAATAATAATAATAAAAAATCTTGAGGCCAATGACAGCCCCAAAAAAGATGGATTGTACCAGGTCATTAACTTGAAATATACCAAACTTAATAGTACATTGTGAAGTGCAACAGCATGTCTAAAGTAGTCATATATACAGTTAAAACGAGGGGGGGGATGGTAAAGGTAAGGGAGCCAGAGAATAGAGAATCTGAAGAACCTTGGGTATGTTGGGACACTAGTCCATGCATAGCGGACAGAACCCTTGAAAGTCTCACGGCAAATTGAAAGCATGTCCTGAATCAAATGTGTATGCAACCACATACTCTCAGCTTGGTTACAAAGAACACCACCAGGCCTCAAAGCTCTAGCAATGGTCTCAAAAAAAGGCTTCTCAACAAGTTCCTGAGCAGGCCCTGCAAATGACAAATGTAACATAAGAACAGTAAGATTTGACTGAAAATTTGATAGGTCAAAGTTCTTTCTCCAAGAATATCTGCAATTTTTTCATCATTAAAGCAGAACAGCTACTGCTCACTAACATAGTAGAAATAAAGAAGCATGGAGTTCAGGAACAATATAATAGGAAGCAAAGAAAAAGGCAGAAAATAGATGTACACCAAGACATGGCTAAAACATTCCATGGCACTGTTCTCAACAAAAACTATGCATTGCAGCATAAGCTCACCTATTGGGTCTGATGAATCAACAATGATAGCATCATATGTCCCCTCAGGAGCATTTCTCAAGAACTCCACAGCTGAAAGTAGAAGAAAAGCAATTCTTATGGAATTAGAGTTCACAAGCTGAAAGGATTACCAATATCTAAAACAATAGGAAACTTCACCAATCAGCAGATATCAACAAATAATGTAGTCATCATGGCCTCATGGGATTATCAACATACCGTCACCAACATGAAGTTGAACGCGAGGATCTTCAAATCCAACAGACAAATGTGGGAAGAAATCTTTGCAAATCTAAAGCAGCAAAGAATAATTAAGCGACTACACTTGAAAAGGTTAATGAATCAAAGGAGAACCTTACATCAATAACCAGCTGATCAATTTCACATATGTCAATAGACTCCACTGAATTATGTCTGGAAATCTCTCGAAGTACACCTCCATCACCACCACCAATAACCAAAACCTGCAAAGTAGTTCCTAAGAACATAAGTCACTAGCATGCTACAGTTCCATGCAAGTGCAGGTAAAAAGAAATATTCGATGCGCTGAGATATAGATGTATAATATCTTCCAAATCAATTTCTTTTAAGCAACACAGAATTGTCTATAATTTCACAATATTAAGGAGACACAAGGATCAGGAGATATACCTTTTTAGGGGATGGAATTGAACAAAGTGGGAGGTGAGTAATCATTTCCTGGTATGCACATTCATCCTTATCAGTCAATTGAACAATACCATCAAGCACAAGGACTTTCCCATACGTTGATGACTGCACACAAAAATTACCAGATTATACACAACAGAAGCCAAAGGCAGTTTATGTTTTCTGGTATCAATAAGTGAAGAGAACCTCAAAGACCAGGACTTCCTGGTATGGTGATTTCCCCTGGTACAATATCTTCTCCACTTTCAAGGAATGGGCCTCTCCTATATATGAGAACAAAATCACAAGAGGTATGATAAAGTACAACTGTTTCACTCTAGAGAAAATGCCAGAGAAGTACTGCAACACAGAACAACTGGAAGTTTGGTTCAATGCCAAAATAGCAATATATAGGATGCCAAACAGCGGTATTCGTACAAGGAAAAAATAACACACTTAGGGAGAAAGAGTCCACACTGGGGAGTACAGAAAAACACTGATTATCAAACATTGGAAAAGAAATTGAACATGTTACAGGGGTCAGGAAATGAAACCAAAAGGGCATAGGCTTTCTCATGGAGACACAAAACCATCCACACTAAAATTGACAATAAAAAAGCCATGAGTAGCACTCAGGTGCATAAGCAGACAACAGACACCACATCACCACTAGTACATGAGAAAAAATTACGCAGACATCAGACACCAAATCACCACTAGCACAGTCAACAGACTACAGAGTGTCTTACGCACGACAAAGTAAATAAGAACAAAAAAATCCTAACTCTGATTAGCATGCACTATGTTAGATCAACTTCCAGTACCAAATTTTGCGACGACAGTACTATAAGGGTGTGCTTGTAATAATAATATAGATAACATCTTAGACATATCGAAACCATTCTCTGTACAGAAGCTGAACAAGATGCATGTCTACTTCCAAAAAATACTAGAAATTTATTTCAAGGATAAGCCAGGCTAAACCATTTTCTCGCATAAATAAATTCTGGTTAAATCATTGGTGGAAAATTCAGTTGCAGTTGCAATAATTTAAGCATCGCGTCCATTCAGGAATGAAGTTGCCCAGCCATTAACTACATATCTGCCAGAAAATCATGTTGACTTTGGAAATTTGGAATACCATTCCTCCAGTTGACAATTGTTAATTAAGAGACATAGCATAAGGTAAACAATACTGGCAGCAGGTGGACCAAGTACCTGGCCACATTGGGTTATTGTAATATTGAACCTTGATGGCTTTACCTGCACAGGCAGCAATCAGGGTGAAATAAAATAACCTGTTAACTATGACAGTAGTAATAAAGTAGTACAGTACATGTCATGAAGCAAGACAACCAATGGCCTACCGCAGTGTGATCGTGGCTCGGTGAACCATCCCGAAACCACGGTGGCATGGCACTTGGCCTCGGACTCGGGCGCCGCAGCTCTCGCCTTGACACAGCAAGGGGGCAGCGGCTTGGCGGAGCCATCACCCCCACTCCCCTTTGTCTGCGCCGCCCCATTCGAACCATTTCCTGCGCCTCCAGCCTCCATGGACCCTGTTCCTCTTTGGAGTTCCCAGCCTCTGGACCAAAGCAACAGACGCGCACAAACACACACACACAAACAAGGTCAACTAGCCATCGGTGTCATGGAAGCTTCTTGAAGAGGTTGCGAGGTACAGGGAACGCGAGCCGCGAACGTGGTGGGAGCACCAGGCGGTTGGGGGGCTGACGCTGAACTGAGGAGGTTGCGGGGTACAGGAAACGTGGAGCAATAATTTCCGGCAGAAGAATTGAAGGTTGGTGGGTGTGTATGCACTTGTACTCGAATCAGATCCGAATGGTCGGCTTCGACCGGCAGGAAGGGAAGGGGAGGGAAGGGAGGGGCGCGCTCATCTCGTACCTGATGGGTGCTCGTCGCCGGCGGATTGAAGGAGCCGACGAAGAGCGGGGGACTGGGCCGACGAAGACCTGGCGGCTGACAAAGCGACCGACGAAGATCTTGGAACCTGGGGTAGGGCGGCGGCGGTGGCGGCGGTGGCCCAGTTGCCGCGCGAGAAAGTGGGGAGAGAGCGCGCGCAGTCGGGGCGGATGGGAGAAGCAAGAGGAGTTCATAGACATCGTCCTGATCCTTGTTTTTTTTTTTAAATAAAAAAAATATTCTCCAACAACTTTTAATATTCACACCTAATTTTTAGGACTCGAGAAAAAATGGACCAACGCGCACAAAGATCCACGCTCTCCCCGTCCGTGTATCCTCCCTGTCGCGCGTCTTCCTCCTTCGCACACCGCACGGAAGATTTCCCACGACCTTTTTCCCCGGCAATCTTCTCTAGAGGCCTTGCGGCGTCGCGAGGTTGCAAGCAATGCATTAGGCGACTCAAAGAAATGACGTGGAGGGCAGCGGCGCGCGCATCTCTGCCTGACCGGGCAGATGGGAGAAGTAAGGGCGGCGAGACGATTAGACGCATACTTGGCCATGCAGCCCGAGCCCGTCGGCCCAGCCTAAGGCCCGTTTTTTTTTGCCCAGCCCAATCCCGGCCCGGCCCAGTGGCTAGCGGGCCCAAGCTGGCACGGTCCGGAGGAGCAGGCCGTGCCTGGGCCTTACCCCAAGCACGTGGGCCGGCACGGCACATCCCGCTCCGGAACCGGAGGCCCTAGGGGACGCCGCCGCCTTGAAGTGCTGACTATCCGCCCGATGTCGTCGCTTTTAAGCTCAGGTGCCTCGGAGGCTGCCACCGCGACCTGCGAGGCCACTGGATCCGGCTCAAGCAATGCCGCACCTCGCTTTCCCGCCTCTCTCTCTCTCTGCGGCCTCCTCCATGCGCCGCTGCCGGCCTCAGCGGCGCGCAATGGCCGGTGACCGGATCTGGCGTCCGTTACTGCTCAAGCCCGGTTAGCTTGACGCTGCGGATCTGCCTCGAGGCGAGCGCGGCGTCGGCGTCGACCGCCATCACCAGCTCGCTCCGTGCTACCCTCGCCCCTCGCCTCCTGTTCTTCCCTTTCCTCTCTCTCGATGTTCTGCGCCACGGCGGCGGCCCTCGACCTCGACGTCATCATCGCCTGCTGAAGCAGGCCTTGGGCTTGCCCGACCTCCCTGACAGGTCGTGCTTATCGGGCCAGCCTAGCCCAAAAATCGGCCCAGCAGGCCGTGCCTGGGTTGTAGGTCAGGCAAGGTGCCCGCCTCGGCACGGTGCCGTGCCGGCCCGAACCCCATCGGGCCGTGCCTGGCATGGGTCGTGCCGTGCCGAGCCGGGCCGACCCGTTGGACATCTATAATCAGACGAGATGGAAAGTACAGGTGTGTTTGGTGAAGTGGATGGCAGACTCCAACTCTAAAGTCTAAACAAGTTTGTTTGTTAATTAACAAAAAAAATCAAAAGATAAAAACTACTCCCTCTGCCTCTGAATAAATAGATTCCTAAAGTTGTCTTAAGTTAAACTTTTTAAACCTTGACCAAATTTCTAGAAAAAACGTTAAGATTTATGATATCAAATTAGTACCATTAGATTTATTATAGAATATATTTTTATAAGATAATGATTTATTGTCATATTTGTTGTTACTATTTTCTATAAAGTTCGCTAATTTTGACTGGCACGAAATCTAGAAATTGATTTATTTTGGTCCGAGGGAGTAGTCAATTTTGGCCTCCTCCTTGTTCTTGCAGAGATCCATGTTCAATTCATGAGCAGCAAGAAAAATAGGCTACTTCAATAGCTTCTACAGATTACAATCACCTTGGGAGCAATTTACTGGAAGGAAATCAAGTATCAGTGTTCACCCTGCAGCAGCAGGTTCAGGCTGTCAGGGCCTGCTGGCTCTCCAGTTCTGAAAACAATCTGCATGAATTATTTTTACAGATATATAATTCCCTGATAGGCAAGCGATGGAGAAGAAAAGAATGTAGATTAATGTTGAAGCATGTATCGTTGAAACATGGAGTTACAGGAACAGGAAATACGGTATATAACTACTGCTCAAAAGATATCGTCTGTTCAGCAAAGTCTATGTATATTGTTGTGCAGATTTAACAAACTCCATTTGAAGCATGTATCTTTTCGTCCCATTCCAGCAGCTCACTAATTACCTAGTACCATTTACTTGCCAAAACGCATCAAGAATAAGCCCATTTCGTTTCTACTCCGTATAAATTTTATGACCCACCCTAAAGAGGAAAAACTCTAATTTTTAACTAAGCCTAGTGGAGGGTAAATCCCTAGACCTAGAAGAGCACCAGCCTCACCAGCAGGATGAGCTCCATAGCTGGGACGCCGCCTCCTTCTCATCCCCTTCCCTGTCCCCACCCAGGTGATAGAGGCGAGGTTTCATGCCGACCACATCAATTGCCACACTCAATCTCCACAACGAGCTGTTGTGGTGAGGTCACTGGCGAGGAGGTCGTCGCCCAAGATTCCCACCACCACCACCACACCCACCCACCCAAATGCAGAGGAATAGGCTTCCATTAAGATTGCATGAGTTTGCAACAGTTAGCCCCATAATCTTGATGTTGTAGGGTGTTAGCCTATCATGTTGGTTTTCCTTAGGTAAGCTTGTGAACAAAAAGAAAGGATAGCTTTTCGTTTGTTATTGACCATTTAGTTAGCAGTTGGCGTCTCTCCTCTCAGATCAACTAAAATAACATAGGAGAAAAAACATTGCATGGACAGAACCGATCGATCGTAAGAGAACTGTTGCACCAATCTACAAGTGCCATCTTGAAAGAGAAACATCAATGGAGGTTTCAAACTGGTAAACCCTGAAACAACACAAGAAAATGTATTTAGCCACACAACAAAGAAGACTATTTGGCTGAAAAAAGATGTAAGCAAAATGTCTCTAGTCCTTACTGAGTTACCCCCTAGTTACTAGGTCTTTTATATAATGACAGAACTTTGGCAAAAATGATAAGATCTGAGGTCCAATATAATGGCTAAATTTAGCAAGCTTTCCAAAAGCAAGAGTATCATGCTTCAACTATTATTAAAACATAGGACAATAGGCATCTTCATACATAATATCACACTTGAGCAAAAAGATAAGGTAACACATCAATAACTTGCATATGGGAGGGGGGGAACGAAAACTCATAAATCAGTCAAGTAGCACAACTCTTCCCAGGGGGAAAAAGGTATTTATTGATTTCTTTATGTAGCTCAGAAGACAATGCATTACATGAACCAGTGACAATCAAGCAGGGGATTCATGAGGCATAGCATATCACAACAAACCAAAGAGCTTCTACATCTAGAATGCAATAGGACCAAAGTGATCTCTTTGCATAGACACTATAAAGGAGCGTGTGGACTGGTGGTGATCTGTGGTTTGAAGCTCTCCCTTTTGATTGTACTTGAGGCCAAATATGGTCAAATGGAGAATACAGCCATCACAGTCTCCCAAGGCTCGACCCTCCTCCACTTCCTCACATCTCACACATTGGACAAGGCAAAATCTGTTTGTGCCCATAGAGGTGAGAGAGGCCCTCATGTGCCTCTGCCGGTGTCGGTGCGGGATCCACGGGATACCCCGCAAGGAAGGGAGAAGATCTAGTTTAACTAGGATTCTTCCCATATAATCTTAGTAGTATTAATATTCTGTAATCCTACTAGGAACTCTCATTGTAAACCGACTATGACTCTGGCCTCCTGACTATATAAAGGAGGGCAGGGTTCCTAGAGACGAGAGAACTTTGGACGACACAATACTTCACAATCAATCCAACGCAAAGGTTAACGCCGACTGGACGTAGGGCTATTACTCGATCAACGATCGAGGGTCCGAACCAGGATAAATCGACTGTCTCTTGCGTTAACCATCGAGTTCTGCACACGCTGAAGCCCGAACAAACTGCCCCAGGGACCCCCGTGGCAGGCTATCGGTGGTGAAACATCGATAGCTGGGCGCCAGGTAGGGGCTTTCGGCGCAATTGCATTCGAGAGCTCGATAGACCTCAAGATCAATATTCGTAGCCCTCATCAACAACTCGATGCGGCTCTCATCGGCCCTGGTCGATGACTCGTCGTGCTCACGATCTTCTTTAGCGTCGTCCGTGGTCTGGAGTTTTCAGCTACTGCAATGAACGCTGGATCCAATTTTGAATCTCGCCAAGACAAATCCTTCTACTTCGTCTCCCCCGCAACCACACCACACGTGTCAAGATCGGGAGATACAAATTGATGTGGTGGCAGTCTAAGCGGCGATGCATCAATGGGCAAACAAGGAAGCGTGATCAGACACGCAGGCCAACTGCAGCCAGGATACTCCGAATCGACTACGCCTTTGTCCAAAGGCCTGACTTTGCATCGGATGCGGCGTGAAGTCTAGCGACAGCTCGAGTCGAAGGATGTACAGCAACAACCTGGAAGATGTTCACGGGAAGCTACAAGGATTACTCGGACTCAACGTACTGATCTGGAACGGGTCCGGTCGATCACGGATTGATCTGTGAACTACTCAACCGGATGTTGCGAATGATCTATTTTCATCAACAACCACCCTGCTGCGACTACTCGTCCGCATGTCCGAGTACTTTGCCGTGGTGACCGACT